TCCCCGGAGGTCCCCGCCTTAAATCCGGGGAACTACGGGACCGAGTGCGCGACGGGCGGGGCGGTGCTGAAGTCCGAGAACGGACCGGAGAACACCGAGATACGTGTCTTCCAACTCCGAAATTCGGTGGTTCTGTCGTCTCGTCGCCAAACAAAGCCGGAGTATTCAAAGAATTTTTCCGCCTACCTTGAGTTTAGTGCTGATCCGTGGATTCCCCTGCACCCATTTTTTTTCCACGTTCTTAAATTATTTCAACTCGTTGCAATATTCCTTAAGTGAACGATAAAGTAATGTGCCAAAACTTTGGGTTCAATGTGCGACACGTATGATCTCGAAATGCCATTGACCATCACACAGCAGATCACATCCTACTTGTCTCATCTGTGATAGTTACCTGTTAAACCGGAATCCTCCTGTTTCCCAGTTGTGCAACCGTTTCTTTAGAGTGCACATCAAAATGTTTGCTGTTGACCCCAAGGGCCTGTTTCTGGAAACATAGTAGGTAGGAAAGTTTAAGCTTAACCCAGGACCCTTGCTCACAGTGCAGGTTCAGATCTGAGTGGTCTGTGGCCGCTGACCGACACCGGTAGATGCGCGCTTGGAAAGGGAGATTTGTTGAGGGAGGAAGGTGTTCCTACCCAGAGTATTTAGTAAGCATCGTGAAGTCTGTGGGTTTTGTTTCCGTTCACGTGCATAGGGCCTTTGCTCCGTCAGGATACCAGAAAGAAAATAAACTTTAGCCTCTAATCGGAAAGGAAATCTCACAAGAGTTTGTATCACGGAGGAGGGGAAGCAAGATAACCCAGGTAATTTTCCCAGCATCTCAGAGTTATTATAAACAGCATAACGTGGTAGGGATAGATGTCCAGAGTAGGAAGAAATTTCCTGAATCTGAAATTATTAACTCGTTAATTGATAGAAAAGTTGTTTCACAGTAGCAAAAAAGTTTTAATGGCATTTTTTAAATGCTCTATTAGTCCCTTTTAATAGTGCTAGTGTTGAGACAAACCTTATATTACAGAACTGTGTACTATTGGGACTGAGAGTGTGACCCTGTTGTAGAGAACTTACCTAGAGTGCGTGAGGCCCTGCTTTCTGGGTTCCATCAACAGCACTAACAAAAAAAAATTTTTTTAAAGGAACCTTATGCTATAAAAGAGTAGTTTAAGATGATCTGCAGTTGGATTGTGGTGATAATTGCACAACTCAGTAAATTTACAAAAAAAAATTATTTGAATCGCATACTTTTAAAATTTAGCAAGTTTTGTTTTTTTTTCTGAAAAACAGTAGCTGACCTCTGTGGTTCTTGCTATAGTCCCAGCTACTTGGTAGACTGAAGCAGGAGGATTGCTTTAGCCAGCAGTTTTCTCATGACTCATTCATTGCCTGTTAAAATGGGTTAGTTCTTTGTCATCTGTTTAGAAACTCACTTTACTTCAGGGTGCATGATTTTGTTTAGTGGTTATTAAAAGACTTGACCAGTAATACATCTTAAATGACTTATTTTGGTTGTTCTTTAAAAACTATTTCTATATTAAGTTTTTTATATTTGACTGTATACTGTAGTGGCTTAGTTTTATGTCTTTATGAATTCATGAAAAATGTTCTCTCAAATACTTGGTGAGAACCACATATAGGTTGAGAACAGTGTTTCTCATTAAAGCAGCTTAATAACTTTTTAAGAAAAAATTTTTTGTAGTTGTGATGGACACAATACCTTTATTTTTATTTATTTTTATGTGGTGCTGAGGATCAAACCCAGGGCCTCACACATGCTAGACAAGTGCTCTGCTGCTGAGCCATAGCCCCAGCCCCAACCCATTAATAACTTTTAAAAATATATATATTTTTTAAAGATCTGAATTTAAAAGATGTCTTGTCAGCTTAGTGATTTATCAGTCAGTTGGCTGTGTTCCCTTTACTTCTCACAAAGAAAAGAGTCCATACATTTTTGAGATTTCCAAGATATTAATTTTAATCGTTTTCTTAAAAGTTATGTACTTTTGTACATGAACCTAAAGATGTGTATTTTAATGTTCCATGTTTAAATGTCTCTTCAACAGATACTAAAATCAATAAATATTGTATTTGTAATAGTTAAATTCATCACATTAAATTTATGACATCAAACAATTTGTTCCTTTGTCGTAACAGTGTATGAATTTAACAATATGAATACAGCAATTAAAAATGTTTAATCATTTAATTTGTATTTATGACATTGATATTTTCTTAAAATATTTTTAATTGTAAGTGGACCCAATACCTTTATTTTATTTTATTTATTTTTTTATATGGTGCTGAGGATTGAACCCAGTGCCTCATACTTGATAAACAAGCATTCTACCACTGAGCCACAACCCCAGCCCATTACATTGATATTTAGTCCATACATAAATGTATTCTTTTTCTTAAGAAGTATGAGTTAATATATAATGGGTTTTTTGGAATTTAATCATGCTTACAAAAAGTGGAGTTCCCAAATCTTGATTATATTATCTGTTTCGTATTATCTAAAACTATAACCATTCAATCAATACTGAATACTTATTTCATATTTCAAAATTAGAAGTGAGAAGTTCAGTCTTAAAATTTTACAGTTTACATGACTTGTTGAATAATGTAATATCTGAAAAGTCTACTTTTTCAGAATTTGAAGAATGGTAGTCTAACAGATTAAAATCGAAAGTTTACTTACAGAATTAGAATGTATTCTCACATATGGAGATCCTATTCCTTTTTATTTTTTATTTTGAGATAGGGTATCACTAAGTTGCTTAGGACCCACTGATTTGCTGAAGCTGGCCTTGAATTTGCAATCCTCCTGCCTTATCCACCCCAGCTGTTTGGATATTTTTCTTGAAGCTATATATTCAGAATTTGAATTGCAGAAACATAGGGAACATGTGTCTTTATTAGGTAATGCCAAACAGTTTTCCATAATAATAGTTTATTACCTTTTACCTCAATTATTAGTATGTTACAGTTCTAATGGCTCCATATTCCTTGCCAACAATAATACTTGGCATTATATATTTTAATTCTAGCCAAACTAGTTGAATGTGATTTTAATCTCCATTTCTCTGACTACTAATGATGTTGGATGTCTTTTCATATCTTGGCCATTTGAATTTCATTTTTCATGAAGTCCTTCTGAAATTTATTGCCCATTTTTATATTTAAATTCATGTCATTTTATAGAATTCTGGATTTGAATATAAATCCTTACTTGGATGTTTATGTTGCAAATATCTTTTCCCATTTAGTAGTTTCTTATGATGAACAGTTCTTCATTTTAATGTGACATGTTTATCAGGCTTTTCTCTGATGGTTAGTGGACTGGTCTTTTTCCTTCTTTGTTTGCTCCCTTCCCTTCTTTCCTTTGCTTTGCTTTCCTTTCTTCCCCTTTTCTTTCCTTTGCTTTTTCTCCCTTTTTGGTATGGTATAGTATTTTTCCCTGGTGTCATGGAAAATACTTTGATTTTGCTTTTTTTTTTTTTACCTTTGGGTTTATAGTGCACCTAAAACAGATTTTGTGTATGGTGTGAGGCAGTCATTTGGCTTATATGGGTCCATATTATGATTTAGGTTTTTTGCGTTTGGGGTACAGGGGTTCTGGGATTTGAACTCAAGGGCACTCGACCACTGAGCCACATCCCCAGCCCTATTTTGTATTTTATTTAGAGACAAGATCTCACTTGAGTTGCTTAGCACCTTACTTTTGCTGAGGCTGGCTTTGAACTCTTCATCCTCCTGAGTTGCTGGGATTACAGGCATTTGTTTTCCACTGCACCCAGCTATAATTTAGGTCTTTTATTTGAAGAGTACTTATAATTTAAATATACCTTAAACTATATAGTGCTCTGGAAATTTTTGACTAGTTAACTTTTGATGTGGTATAGAATTAGTTTGACTATATGTCCTGGTTTTCCCTGGTGGGAATCATCATTAATGCTTGTTCTAGCATAATTATTTGAAACATCCCTTTTCTCTCTTGAAAATGTATAGTTTGTTATAATATAACATAATATAAAATCAAAAGTCTAATCAGAAAGGTTCTGCTCAATGGATGATGTCCTTTATATTCTGTTAGCGATTTCACTGACTAGCTTTAGTCCTGTCAAGTGAAACTAAGGTAAGCTTGATGAGCTTTGATCCTAGGAACCTAAGTAAATGTCAAGAAGTCTTAAAGGCACTCTGGAAAGGCATTGATGTCAATCTATTAAGTGTGTTTGTGGCTAATCTGGATTACAGTTTGTTTCTGCAGTTTGTTGCAGTCTTTGTCTCAGCTCTGAGTTTATTTTCTTCTTAGTACTGATCATGACCTACACTTAATCTTCTTTGCTATTTGCATATATGTGCTTGTCTTCACCTTCCCTCCCCACTTCAGAGTCTGACCAACTGGGATGAACAAATGTTTATTTAGTGAGTGAGTAAATGGAAATTATTTAGCATTTTAGTTTATTAATCTTGTAAAAATCTCCTGGGGATACCTCCAAATAATGCTTTTTTATATTCACAATGTATTTTCCATTTAATATTAAAATATCCAGCTTTCCCAACGGGAGTATTGGAGAATTTCAGCTAGTAGGGATACAAATGGATGCATTTTTATGACAAAATTGACATTGTTGGGGAGATAAACTTTTTTATTTTGTGATTCCAGCTCAGTTATCATTTTCATTTAATATTTAAAGAAAGAATCAGTTCCAGATTTTGGAGGAAATTATCATGAAGTGCAATAGACATGAATAGTTTATAAAATAATTCTAGTTATATTTGCACCTGT